TTTTTTATGGTTGAGTTTTAGGAGTACTTTGTACATTTTGGGTAACAGTCCTTTATCAGATGTGTCTTTTGCAACTATTTTCTCACAGTCTATAGGTTGTCTTTTCATTCTTATTCCCTCTCTCTCTCTCAGAGAAAATGGAAGGGAGGGGGAAAGACAGAGAGAGAGAGAATCATCCACTGTGAGAGAGACATCAATAAATTGCCTCCTGATCAGGGCCAGGGATCTAGCCAGCAACTGAGGTTCATGCCAAACTCATACTTTTAAAATTTTCTTCTGCAGAGATGAAATTTTTAATTTTATTTTTAATTTTAATTTTATTTTTTAATATTTTTTATTGATTTTTTACAGATAGGAAGAGAGAGGGATAGAGAGTTAGAAACATCAATGAAAGAGAATCATCGATCAGCTGCCTCTTGCACACCCCCTACTGGGGATGTGCCCGCAACCCAGGTACATGCCCTTGACCAGAATTGAACCCGGGACCTTTCAGTCCGCAGGCAGACGCTCTACCACTGAGCCAAACCGGGTTTCGGCGAAATTTTTAATTTTAATGAAACTACCTGATCAATTATTTCTTTCATGGATTGTGCCTTTGGTGTTTCAATATTCATTGCCATACTCAAGTCATTTAGGCTTTCTCCAACATTACCTAGGAGTTTTATAGTGTTGCATTTTGCATTTGGGTTTTTCAATACATTTTGAGTTGATTTTTGGGAGAGGTATAAAATCTTTCTCTTGATTAAGTATTTTGATATGGATGGTCCAGTTGTTTAGCACCATTTGTTGAAAAGATTATCTTTGCTCCATTATATTGTCTTTGCTCCTTTGTCAAAAATCAGTTGTCTATATTTATGTGAGCCTATTTCTGAGCTCTCTGTTCTCTTCCATTCAGCTATTTGTCTATTTTTCCTCCAACACCACACTATCTTGATTATTATAAGTTAAAAAAATTTTTTTTTATTGATTTCAGAGAGGAAGGAAGTGGGAGAGAGAGAGAGAGAGAGAGAGAGAGAGAGAGAGAGAGAGAGAGAGAGAGAGAGAGAGAAACATCAATGATGAGAGAGATTCCTTAATCAGCTGCCTCCTGCATGCTCCCTACTGGGGATCAAGCCCGAAACCCAGGCATGTGCCCTGACAGGGAATTGAACCAAGACCTCCTGGTTCATAGTCAGTGCTCAACTACTGAGCCAAGCTGGCTGACAACTGTATAAGTCTTGATGTCTATTAGTGTCAGCCTCCAACTTTATTGTTCTTCAACAATATTGCATTGGCTATTCTGAGTTTTTTGCCTCTTTATATAAACTTTAGTGTGGATTTATTTCCACAAAATAACTTCCTGGAATTTTTTATGGAATTGTATTGAATCTATAAATAAAATATGTAAGAACTGATATTTTGACAATATCGAGTCTTTACACTTTTGGTTTAAAAAATTATTGATTTTTTAGAGAGAGGAAGAGAGAGAGATAGAGAGTTAGAAACATTGATGAAAGAGAAACATCAATCAGCTGCCTCTTGCACACCCCCTGCTGGGGATGTGCCCCCAACCAAGGTACATGCCCTTGACCCGAATCGAACCTAGGACCTTTCAGTCCGCAGGTTTGGATCTATCCACTGAGCCAAACCGGTTTCTGCACATTTTTGATTCTTGATGTGTTCCTTTCTCTTTATTTGAATTGAAGATAAAACCCTTTAAGTTCTTCTTAATAGGGCATATCACCTACCTTAATTTTGTCCACTGGTTTCCATTAATTAATTTGTTAGTCTCTTCTTTATGCTACTGTTTAACACTCAGTATTAAAATTCTTCCAGTTCCTTGAATAAATGCAGGAAGAATCTTTTTATTCCTTCTGATTTTGTTAGGGTACTGTTGAATCCACTTCCTTGCCTGGCATGGGCAATCTCTATCTTATTTAAATGATTTAAAAAATGATTAAATAAAGGCAGTATGTGGTACTGTAGTCTTGTTAAAGTTTGGGCTGAATTTCATATCCACTATTCATAAGTTATATGGTTTCAGACAAGCTCCTTAATAACTCTAAGCCTAATTTTTTCCATCTTCAAATAGCAAAGGCATACCCGCTTGTCAGGATTGTATTTAGTTAGATAATATATTTCTTAAGCCCTTGTTAGGTGGTAATTGCTCAATAAATTATAATGCTCCTCTAGACACATGCTTCAGAAAGACAAGAGAAAGATTTAACTAAAGTCCATAGTTTTCATTGGGCGCTCTCTTTGTGTGGTACAGTTCTAGGATTTTCTAAATGCATATTGTTATGTACCTACCATTCCACTCTCACACAGAATAGTTTCACTGCCCTGAAATCTCCTTAGAGGGAGAAAGGTGATGAAAAGTTTTATATTCCAGGTTAAAAACTTGGGTTTTATACAGTAGGCTAGCAGTCTTCCACTATTTTTGTTCACATACCTTTAAAGGAATTTTGAAAAACTATGTAACCACTCACACATTACCAAGTTAACATCTACAATTTTTCACTTGTGGTAAAATATGTACTTGCAAAGAATTTAATTTTTACCCTATTGGAACTATTGACATTTTAAAATAAAACCTGTATCAACTATTTTAAGAATACTCAATGGAATCTAAATCCACAGCAATTTAATAAAACCATTATTCATTTAAATAATACTGAATAGACTCTTCTGTTAAAAGCTGAAAAATTTACATTACTATTTTATTTTCTTGACCTGTATTTCCATCTCACTTCCTCATAGAATTTTTATGTGATATTTTTATAGTTAAAAGTCTTTAACTGTTTCTCTATCATACTTCTCTTCATCAAAAATGTAAGGAATTAATTGAAATTTTAAAATTATAAATTTTCTATGACCCCAGGGCAATCTACCATCGTAATATTTGGGATAGAAGAGAGTGTCCCTTTCTCATGTGAAGTAGAAGAAAGGTTGTTGTGAATAAAGCATCGCTGTTAGCCAGATATTAATAAAGAGTTTATGTAGAAGAGAATTTGGACATTGACTCCATTAAAACTATTAATTCAGTTGCCAACTAAAAGAAACCAGTCTGAAGAGGCTAGATAGTGTATGATTCCAACTACATGACATTCAGAACAAGGCAAAACTATAGAGACAGTAAGACCAGTGATTCTGGGGTTGTGGAGATGGAAAGGAATAAATGAAGCACATTCTTTAACATTTAAAAAAAAATGTATTTTCTGCTCCACGTTCTATGCTCCAGTAAGAACTATTTGAAGTTCCATGTCCTGCTTTTCCATGCCTGTTTGTCTTTATTGTCTTATTTTTTTGCCTCACTGCCTTCTACAAATATTTTAAGACGCACAAGTGTGCATTGAAGAATTACCTATTATACCTTCACTTCCCATTGGCTCAGATGCCTGTGTTTCATATGCTCCCTCATTACTCTCCCTTATTACATGAACACAGTTTTTCTTTCCCCTCTGAAATTGGACTGGGAGATCTCTAAGAGTAGGACCTACATATTACCTTTGTCTCTTCAGCAACTGGCTGTGTACTTCTCCTGGTAATAAGTTAATTTATTGGATAAATATTATTGAATGAAATAAAGCACAGTGGATTTCAATTGTTAATTAATTCTTGTGCACAACTCTTTTTTTGGGTCAGTCTATCTGTAAAAGGCTATTTTGTTTTATGCTAGTTGTTTTTCTGGCTATGGTTTCATTAAGATTTCACATGAAGATAGGATTTTGAACTTAAAAAATGAATTTGAGAACCACTCTTGTGCTAGAAGGAGCACACCATTGTGAGCAATAAGGGAAAGACTCTGGTTTTAACTCTGCTGTAAATTTGCCTGTGACCATGTGAAGTTAACCAGCCTGGAAGCACATTTTCTCAACTATAAAACGAGTTAGTGACCAAGTTATTGCTAAAGTTGCCCTTTTTGTGAATTTAACCAAGGGAGGAAATGTTAATAAAGCAAACATATGATTATTCTTGCCTAAAAAAAAAGAAATATGACCTTGATTTATTTTCTAACCATTCCTACTGTGGATGTTGTATGTGGTATACATGTGTAATGCTGTCCTTGTTCATATCACCTGCAAACATCATGGCTTAGAGTTTATCCTTAATCTGAAAAATATATAAAGTAAAATAATTATAATTCTCATGATTAAAATCTAGTAGTAGTTAATACTACTTTGAGTTATGTTTATATAACTCATATAATTTGAGTTATGTTTTAGCTTTTTTCACCAAATACATAAATCGATCTTTATTAATATTATACTTTCCAGTGCATTTCTATAATTCTGGAAATGCACTTATTGAGGTTGAAATATTTCTTTGTATTCCATTACTCATAAGGATTTTGAACTAAAAAACACAGCCTTTTTCTATGAGGAGCATTAACAACTATGGCAGAAAATGCTTTTCTGTATCTTTTGCTCACTCACAATATGTAGAAATTGTAATAATTTCATTTTGTGAAGCTTGATTGAATGATATTTAGGTCTAATTTTATATAGGGTTTGAGATGATGTTGTTTGGCCAAAGTAAAGGTGGTATTTCCTTTCTTGTCTTCCACTGTGCCCAGCCCTCTCCCCCCTCCCCTTTCTTTCCACCTGCTTGAGGAAAACGACTTCTTGAGACAAACCTCATAATTGCCCTTCTGTGCCTGATTTGGGCCTCAGGAAAGGCCCATAGCATCTGTAAAGCTGGCAGGAAAATGGTATTTCCAGGCAGGCACAGGGTTGCTGGGTAGTGAGCCAATCCCCAGCTTTGTCTGAGCAGCTGAGAACTTTGCCTGCGCATTACCACGGTGTTCAGTAACACAGACCTGTGCCATGAGCAAGTAAAGGCCTGAGCAAGTGTCAGGGTCAATATTTATAGACCACGACGTAGCTTGCCTTGCAAAGAGAGAAAACGAGAGACACTCTCACAGAGGGCAAGGAAAGCAAGACTGCGGTGCTGGGGGACGTTCATGTCTAATGTTGTTGTGTTTTTTTTTTTAATTAAAAAAAGTTCTTCTTAACTCTCAGGTCCAAACCTCTGCTGAATCATAACCGTTTGCCGCCGAGCTATGACAAGAGAGGAAACAAAAAGTTAGACGAGCCAGCCTGTCATAAGTGAGAAGGTAAGTAATTAGCCAGCTCAGTCTCTCTGTTACTCGTAAACCCCATCTCCCTGTTGGCTGCTCTGCACCAGGACGCAGAGGGCTGTGCAGCATGTTAATGCTGAGCGGGGGCTGCCTGCTGTGGGAGCCTGTTCTCGGTGGAGTGTCGTTTTGTGTACCGCCCCTCAGAGTGCTGTGTGCATTCATAACACACTTAAATAACGCGGGCGGTGAGAACAGGACATCATTGTCATGGTGTGTCCTATCAGCAAGTTTCTGTTTCTTCATTCTGTCAAACTTGTCATCTTCCTAGTGATACATTCCTGTTTCATTTCTACCAGATTTAAACAATGAATATTAGTTCATTTCAGTAGCCTGTGGTCTAGAAATGGAATAGGGGGAAAGTCAGGTAGGTGAATGTTGAAGATGAAGCAGACCTTGTCAACATGTACACGCTCACGTCCCTCTGACATTGCCCCACAGTGAAATAATGGTCCTTGTGGGAATAGAGAGAACCGAGTGATGGAAACTAGGAGCAGTCTCCTTAATCTAAGGGGCAAAAGACTCAGCCTGGGGGAGAGTTTCTCAGCCTGCCCAATGACTTGTGAGATTGGTTCTTACAAAAGGCAGTTCTCTACTAAAGACGTTAACATCCCTTGCTCTACGCAGTCATGGTTTGTTTTTTCCATTCATCACACTTAGCACTTTTACACACGCTTCTGGTGTGCTCGGTGCTGTGGTATGTTCATGTAACATCGTTGCTTTGCGTATCCCAGATTCACATGAAGAGCAATGGTGCTGAAGGGGACAGAAAGGTTGTCATTGGTGTACTGTCTGGTTTAGAAAACTCATGGGATGGATAAGCCTATGTTCTATATCTATCACGCATAGCTTGGAGGAAGCTATGTTGCCTTGTTGGAAGTATGGCATTCGCTTGATGAGACTTATCTACTGATGTATTGAAAGCTTCCTTGTGGCTGGAGTGTTTTTATTGTGGAAAATAAGCATTATCACGATTGTTTTAAGAAGTTTAGGTTAGGTCATACATTACAGTTGATTAGACAATCCCAAAGGATTGGACTTTGGGTGGTGGGCATACAACACAATATACAAGTCCTGTATCATAGAAATGTGCACTTGAAACCTATATAATCTTATTAACCAGTATCACCCCAATAAATTTTGAAAAGGATTTTATGGACTACATATTTAAGTTAAAAACAAAAATAATATTAAAGTTTCTGTACGGCTTGACTGGGGGCCAAAAGACATACAAAGACAAACGAATACTCCGGCATAGGTTTGTGTTAGGGCTGACATAGAGGAGCCAGCTCATTCTCAAGTGAGATAAACCCTATCCTGAGCAGTAGCTGGAACAGGTCTAAACACCATGAAATAAGGCCAGTTGTTGTAGAGCATCTCTTCTGAAAATCAAGTATAATTTTTAAAGTAATGCAAAATGTTTTAAAGTCAATTTTATTAATTCAGAAATGCTTTAAGGCTAATCTACTATTTAATTTGAAACTATCAATATATTTTAACCTTCATTTAATGCTTGTTTTAGCTTCTGAATCAAGATTTTTTTCTTTGTACTTTTGTAAGCTCTGCATACTAGTTTATTAATGAGTTTTATTTAGATTTTTGACAATAATATATTTATTTTGAAAATGTAGCCAGGTTTGATCTAGAATGGGCATTTCTTAATTAAATTTTTCTTTTCTTCTGCCTCTGGGTAATATCTCATGATCAAGATTGTGAATTCAGTTCTTAATTCAATATCTTCTATTTATTCACTTTATACATTGTATAAATATATGATATTGCTTTCTTATACCTTTCTTATTGGTCTTATTTTTATTCCATCTGGTATGTTGTTTCTGAGGTACTGTGTGGAAATTTTTGGTGGAAACAGGCCAAATAAAATTACTTCAATAAAAATAAACGAAAGAAAGTTGTCCCTTAAATTAAGAGAAAAAATACATAATTGTGACATTGGTTGACAGTGTCTAAAATGTAATATATTTTCATTGAAAGTTGATTGAGCATAATAAAATTTGAAATGCCGTCTTAATATATTTTGGCTTTAATGTTACTCTGATATTGGTTATTTATCACATTTGTAAATAACATTTTATAGATAGACATATTATAAAAATGATACAAGGCTCTTTGTATCTTGTGTTAGCTATTGAAGCGATTAGTGAAGTTAGCTTGAAATGTTAATTCATGCTACTCTCCTAATGGATCTTACTGCCCCTAATCTCCTACTGTCATTCCATCTGCTGTATGACCCTTAAAAGGGTCAACCCCCACACCACGACCACTTCACTGTCCATGACCACTTCTCTGTCAGGGTATTTGGTACAATGAGTCTCTTCTTGATCCTACTGCTACTTTTATTCTGCAGTCATCTTTTGCTCTTCTTTCTGGGGTATTTTCTCCCTCTCTCTTGCCCCCATGAGGATATTCTCCTTTTCTCTGCCTTATGCTCTAGCGATATTGAACATCTTGTATTTCTCAAAATAAACCATACAGTTTTGCCCTTTCCTGGAATATTTTATGATGCTTCCTATGCCATGAAAACCCTCTTTCTAGTCTCTGCCTTTCAATCTTAATGAAGGCATCCCTCCCCCGCATCCCTGCTGGTCCACTGTCCGCCTCTGTGGTCTGGCCTCCTGTATAGACCTCTGTCACAGAACTTTGAAAGTCTGATATGTTCTGTGTTTCTTTTTCAACAGGAGACTGCAAGCTACTTGTAGCCAGGCTTTAACATTTATTTTTTTAAGGTCCTTCTAAGACCTAGCACAGCACAGACACTTAGAACTTGAACTAAAGAAAAACTTTATTATGGTGATCTTAAACTACCTCTTCTCTTTTTTAAATTTTATTTTTTTCTGTCATCATTTATCCCCTCTAAGTCCTCTTCCACCTCCACCCCTGCAATCACCACACTGTTGTCCATGTCCATGAGTGTGTTCTCTCTCTCTCTCTCTCTCTCTCTCTCTCTCTCTCTCTCTCTCTCTCTCCTCTCTCTCTCTCTCTCTCTCTCTCTCTCTCTCTCTCTCTCTCTCTCAATCTCTCTCTCAATCTCTCTCTCTCTCTCTCTCTCAATCTCTCTCTCTCTCTCTCTCTCTCTCTCTCTCTCTCTCTCTCTCTCTCTCTCTCTATTCTTTTTTGCTCAATTTCTCCCCACCCAACCCTCATCTGTCTGCCTGCTCTCTATCTATGAGTCTTCTATCTATGAGTCTGTCTTTATTTTGCTTGGTAGTTCAGTTAGTTCATTAAATTCCACATATGAGTGAAATCATATGGTACTTGTCTTTATCTGACTGGCTTATTTATTTAGCATACTATTCGCCTGGTCCATCCATGCTGTTGCAAAACGTAAATTTTTCTTTCTTTTTATGGAAGAGTAGTATTCCATTGTGTAAGTGTACCACAGCTTTTTTATCCACTCAACTACTGATAGACACTTGGGTTGCTTTCAAATCTTGGCTATTATAAATAACGCTGCAATGAACATAGGGGTACATATATTCTTTCAAATTATGGATTCAGGTTTCTTTGGATAAAACCCCAGAAGAAGAATCACTGGGTCATAATTCAGTTCCATTTTTAATTTTTTGAAGTAACTCCATTCTGCTTTCCATAGTCGCTGCACCAGTCTACATTCCCACAAACAGGGTGTGAGGTTCCCTTTTCTTCATGTCCTCCCCAACACTTGATGTTTGTTGATTTATTGATGATAGACTTCCTGACAGGTGTGAGGTGATACCTCAATGTGATTTTAATTTGCATTTCTCTGACAAGTGACATTAAGGATTCTTTCATATACCGGTATCTATTGGCCATCTGTATGTCTTTCTTGGAGAAGTGACTATTCAGGTCTTTTGCCCATTTTAAAAATTGGATTGTTTTTTGGGTGTTGAGTTTCATAAGTTATTTATAAACTTTAGATTATATCTCCTCAGTCAAGGGAAACAAAAGAAAAAATTAACAAATGATAGTACAACAAACGAAAGAGTTATTGTATAGCAAAGGAAAACATCAACAGAATTAAAAGACAAACCACTAAGTGGGAGAACATATTCGCCAATGATACATCTAATATTCAAAACCGTCAAACATTCTAATATTCAAAACCGTCTCTTCTTTATAGACTTTTACTTTAATATGATTTTAAACTTTGATTAATTGGATTGTAAGAATGCCCCTCACATAGATGATAAGTGCTTTTGAAACAATAACAATGATTTTAAAATTTTATTTTGTTTCTCTTTCTACCACCAATCACAGAATGTATGTATATGTGTTTATCCATGTAAGCAGATATTTGTTGCACTCATAAAGTTACTTGAATAATAAAATTTTGAAATTATATTGGTTACCACATACAAATTCACGAAAAATAGCCCCAACTACTTTTAAATTACTTTGATGTAATTTGTCAACAAAATCCACCAGTTGCTGCTCCACATGGACAGCTTTGCTTAGTTAAATGGTGCCCCAGAAAACTGAAGACGTGTTACACCTTCAAAAGGCCCAAAAAGTATTTCTGGAGAGACTAGAATATCTGGAGAGACTCATACAGAGTGGAATGGCTCCCACTGTTACTGATAAAAGTGTATCCTCCTAATTTTACTTACTATTAGTGGCCCAGTGCACAAATTCATGCACCTTGAAAGTGACTGTGGGCCGTGAGGCTGCAGTAGGCACAGGGGCAAGTCTCAACCCATCCTGGGCGCCCTTGCGGGCTTCTCCCATTGTGGTCCCTGGTCCCCTGTCTGCCTCAGCCCCACTCCTTCTCCCACTCACCTGCTCCACCATCCCACCGCTGCCAAAGCCTGCTATGTTACTCACATGGCTGACCCTGGTGGTCAGTGCACTGGTTGTTTGGTTGTTCCAATTATTTCACCATTTGGTTTATTTGCGTATTAACCTTTTATTAGATAGGATTATAGAGATAGTAAGGGATTTTGAAAAAATAATAGAAAATCATGGTTTAAAAATTCTCAACCCTT